AAATGCTGTGTATTTTCTTATACAAATTGGTTGAACCAATCTTGAAAAAATTCAAGATATACAAGCATAGTTGATATATTTGAAAGGTGTGTATTTTTTTGGCGGTTTCGCTATTTTACCATTCTTTTATTTCATAGAAATACCAACCAATATTTTAACTATATTACTGAAATCATGGATCACTCATTGTTAGACCACACCATCAGAAACCTGGAAGCACTTGACGGACGTTTTGTCCTGGTATGAGACTCATCAGCAGTGCGTATCCACGATCCTTGATCTTGAGAATAGAATCCAGGACCTTCAGCCTTGCGTGCGAACACCTAACCTCTAAATCACTAAGCCGGCATCCAACGGTGTCAAAGTCTAAATTTGATCAATTTAAGATGAAACGGTAGTCCAGTGCTTCTATATTTCTAATGATGATCGAACAATCGCTGATTCATGACTTTCGAAATTGTTCAGTAGTCTATAAATTTGATTGTTGAATATAAAAAATAATTTATTTTATATTTTGTTTCAATTTAATACTTATTAGTTCATATGTACTTGATTGTTTTATCGAAAGCAGAAAACTGTTGACTGAATTTTATTTTGACTTCAGTTTTTCAGGTATTGAATTTAATGAAGTGAATATAAACTAATCAGTCTTTCGTAAATATCCGATCTATATTGAAATAACATTCCAATATATCCATATTCATACAGTACACTAAACAACTTTTGATATTCTTCATAACAAAATATCACTACGATTTGTAGTAATTCTAATTTGTTTTGATTGATAAACAGAGGAATTGCTTATGCATTGATTTGATTACTGTCTAGATGATTATCTATGTCAAATCAGTATTTATTTATCATCTATAATAATTTCAGTTAGACTGATCAACTAGTCTACAAATATCATTTAATAGTATTCTTTTTATATGCATATCTGTTAATCGTAACTTATTTTTTAGTGACAAATACAATAGACAATGCATATAGTATAATGTTGATAAACTCAAGTACTTTTCTTTATTCCACTATTCCTACAACATTTATTTGAAAGACCTAATTAACCAACTAACTAATTGAGCTAGTAAAGTGTTTGTAATATCATCAGTAAAATATTATTTTAAATGTATAAATAGTAATAGTAATTATATTAATTGTATATTTATAACTCAACATTTAATATCATCAGTGATTGATTATAGTATTTTGGTCAAATGTAATGTATGAAAAATATTCATTCACACTAGTCATTATTCAGTTTATGCATTATTATTATTATTATTATTATCATTACTGTTGTTCTTATTGATTCATCTCCTATAATAAATAATACTGATAGATCGATAGACTGTGCATCATTCTGATTGGTTGACTTTTATTTAATCTATAAGTGCATTTTATTTGGTTAAAATGAATAACAATATCTATGGTAATATAATGCCACCATCATTCATTATCACCATTGCTAACAATACTAATCATTGTATACACCTAATTTTTTTCGTTTAGTAAACAAGTAATATGTGATTGACACTGTTGAGTTAATTAAAACACTGTTTGTTTGTTGTTTATGTGCATTTATATGTCATATATTTATATTCTGTTCGATCGGTTAATTTCTAATAGGTAAAGAATATATTAGCTGCCGTATTCATTAAACAGAATAATGTGGGAAATGTAGTTTGAAATACTTTTCTATATAAGATAAAATTTATTGATAAACCAATCTTTATTATTAAATTATCAATATAATTTGTAAACGATAAAGTTGTCTGAAAATAAAACTAGAAAAATGTTTTTATTTTCTGATTATTTTCTTTTACGATATTTGTCACTCACATTTTCTGTGCACTAAATTTCAATTAAATATATAGATGAGTTGGAAAGATTTATTTTTTAACGTTGAATTTCATTGAGAGTTCAGGGAATGATAAAATACATTATTTTTAGCTATCAATCTCAGTAATTATGTAAATAAATGATGTGCACAAATCCATGAAGTCACTGACAATTGGATTGAGCCATGTTAACAGGTGTAGACTACCAGGTTGAGTTACGCGAGGCAATGATGACAAGTAGTTAGAGTCTTTGAATGACATCTCTCAAAATCATTTGCAATACAGCGGACTCATCCATTCTTTGTCTTCTCCTAAATCCTAAACTTCTGAATCCCTATTCACCTTTATCTTTCTCTTTTTTAAAAACTTATTTCACCGGATTATACTTCTTGAATAATTTCTTCGAACCTTAATCTTCCTCATTGCATCTCTTTGCTGATGTGGTATGGCAAATTGAACTGATATTTGTTCGAAGTTCTACGTTGTAGCAGACTCAATGACTGAAACATATGATGTGTAACTAGTAAGTTGTTACAAATGACCATTGTCATCCTATCAACTTTCTTATAACATCTTTTCTTAACTTCAATAATTTTCTGAACTATTTTACTTTTTATTATCTCTGAGTGGTCTTTTAAACACAATTCTTATCGCAAAGTCATAAGTTTTCGAATCTTCGTAGTTTACATTGCAGACTGATTTTAGTTAAATGACCTTTAAAAATCAAGAACCACTAAACAGTTGTTTTATTGTTGTGTGGGGCTTCTTAGCACTATGCTCCTGCGATTCGACCAAAGAGCGAACAAAAAATGTTTGACTGCTAGACTGATGAATCCTAATTTAATTATGGGATGTCTAATTTCAGTTGATTCATGTTATTATGTGGTCATCTCTCACTTCCTACGACGGATAACTGTTTCACAAGATTCGTTAATTTACGCGCTATATAGTTTGATCTCATTATTTTGCTTGTCTGCTCCTTTTTTCGTCCTTATTCAACTCTAAGAATTCCCTAAAACATTAATTCATTTAATCTCGGCAATATTATTACTCTTATCATCAAATTATTTCTTATGACATTCTGTGTGTTCTTAGTGAATATTAAAAATGAAGTCAGATCCAATGTACAATGAAATATATTTCAGCAAGCTCTGAAACCAACTAATCTTTATCTTTTTGGAAAATTTAAAATAATTCCTTTTTCTTCAATCTTATAAATGAATTTCTACTCTATTTTTCCTGTGTCAAAGAATATTATATCATATTTAAAGAAAATTTGTATTCATATATTTGTAACTATTTTATTTTTCATTTTTTACTTTTGTTCTAAAATAAATACAATAAATCTATAAAATATTTTACTAAATTATATTAAAATTAATCATACCAAGTAAGTAGCAATATAATACTTATCTTTTTTTTCTTGCCCCCTCTAACCATCACAATCTACTTAACTTTCCAGTTTAATAATTGACTAACCAATCATATAACTAGTAAATTGGTCAGTCAGTTAATTAAGATTATCATTTTTTTTTTCTGTTAGCTTGTATCATTTTATAGTGCCTACTGAAAGCAACTAAATAGTTCTGTATATTTATCGTCTTAATATGTCCAGCTTAATCATTATTTTAATTTTCTCTTCAGTTTATAAGAAGTCATTGTCAGCTAATTAAGTTTCACTTGAGAGAATTTTATTATTTTTATTGACTGTTTAGTAAGAAAATAAATTGGAGAATATCTTTTTAAAAAGTATTTAATCAAACATTGCACACATTCTATAATGATCGGAGTACATAATCAAATGAATAAATAAAACTTAATTACTTACTATTCGAATTTACTACTCAAAAATTAAAGCTACTTGCAAAATATTTATTGTTTTGAATTTAATTAATTAATTAATTCAATTTGGAAAATAATCAATCACAGATACCGCATCATTTTCTAAGTATGATCAAGTTGACATATAATAGATAGGGATAGTGCTAAATAAAAAGTTCGTATAACTATTTGTAATAGGAAAGAAATTGGCATTGTTAAACTTACTGAATCCATGTAAGTACTTTAATTTGAGAAATAATTCATTATAGTTTCAAGATAAAAGTCTTTTGAATACACTAATGACTGATAAGATGAGATTAAACAGTCCTACAAAGATATTCAACATTTTTTTTAGTTTACACCAGCCATATCATTATCCAGATATTTTAATGTTTACCAATGGTTAAAAAAAGTCTATTCTGTTACATATACAACTGTTAGGTATGATCTATACTGCGCTAAAAATCTGGTTGATTTAATAAGTCAATTATGTGTCGAGTTTCTTCTTGATCAAACAACCATAACTGTAGATCTGTTGAGTTTTATTTATTCTGATCCTTTAAAAGAATAAGATTTACAGTATAGCATGAATTAATCATATTTTATAGCTTCTTATCAATTACAAATTATAGTTTCATTATTATTCTAGATTTGTTAGTTCACATAATGCCTAAAATTCTTATTGATATTAACGTTCGTCTGTTTACTTTACTAGATAGTTCATCTTCCCCTCTATAAATCATTTTCATTCTATATTCGTTTTGATATATCGTTCGGTTTAGGCGTGTATTATTTTATCATCATCAGTTAGACGAATTTAGTCTGATATTATCAAAGTTTACTGTTTGAATCAACCGAAAATATCTCTGTTAATATTATCTTCAAAGAAATACCTACAGGGTTTGACAATAAAACAATTTACACTGCGGTTAAATAAGTTAGAATTAGGGTGACTAATGTATCTGAAAACACTTGCTTCAGTGTGGTATACAGTAAGTGAAATAGGAGGAATTAGAAATCATAACAAAAGAATATACCAATTTAAACAATCCGTTGATCAGTGGTTTCGGTAAACTACTTTCAATACCTCATAAGAGTAACCAATTTATACCTAAAACTTTGTTTAAAGTTTTAGGCATAAGTAATTCGGTTTTTAAATTAATTTCCATTAACTGGAAAGACTAATTTTAAATACTTGTGTTTTTCTGACATAGAATTTGGGTTAAAAAAAGTCAAAAAGTGTTCAAAGTTCAAAATGACGAATATGATATTTTGGTCATATTAATTTACATAAACATTAATTTGTTCGTTTTTTTTCTCACTTTTTTTCCTTTGTTACAGTTATAATTTTATGCACAGATCCAGAAGTTGTACGGGATATTATGTTGGAAGCACATAAATTGAATATGGTCAATGGAGATTATGCATTTTTCAATATGGATCTTTTAAGCAGGTGTGTATTCATTTCTTTTGAATTTATTTACATATACACTTGTTTTGACAATAAATTCACTAACCTATCATTGTTTACTCAGATATTGATTATTACATAAATATAGTCAATAAATCATTCAAACTAGTATTAGACAAGATCGATTTTTGTAGAAAATCTTTCTACATCAAAATTATCAATACCAACTTAGGTAATTATCAAAACCGTCAAAAGCATTAGACAGATATTTAATGCTAGTTCTCGTCTACATTTTCTTAAATAAACATCTTGAATTACTGTGGTAATAAGATTTGAATAATGCTGAGATCCAATCATCATAATGTCGTAATTCAACAGTGATAAAATAATAGTGTTTATGTATTTACACTCCTACCCTTTCATTTACACGTAATGATAATAATAATAATAATAATTTATTCCATTTTCTAAAAAAAGTTACCTCATTTTAAAATAAGTCATTAACTAACAGCTTCAACAATTCCATTGATTCAAAACATTTGACTGAGTTTTTACTATTTCATTCTGCACTCTTGTATTGTTTAGTAAATTTATATTTTTGGTTATTTATTCAAAACAGTTGATGGATTTAAATTCTGTGTGTAGATTTCACTTAATATCACTGGTTCAGTAACAGGAGAAAACTTATAGGTAGTTTTTTATTTCAAAATATATATTCAGAAAAACTAATCATAAGTATAATTTTTTTATGATCGGTAAACTCATTTATTTTTATTTCTGAATTATTGAAGAAAAAAATCACTGTTACTATGGTTCTATTTGTTATGTAGAAAACAATAAAAGAGAATGGTTTAAATGTTTGAAATACAATAGAAATCTCGTATGTTTTCAAATTTTACTATGAAAATAAATGTTGTACTTTAGTAATGATTATGTTGATCAATTCAATTTATTTCTTTGAAAGCTAATTGATAATCGTTACACATAGTTACGATTGTCGTTAGTAATATATCACATTGTTTCTAAACAGGGAAGAGAACTAAAATAACGAACTTGTTCTTAGTCATCAGCTAGCATACGACCGACCCTATAATGTTGCTTCAGGACCTTGTAGTTTGGATCTCTCTGGGTCAAGAGTTGGACAGTAACCCTTCTAAGAAAAACACCAGCTTCGGTTTTTAGGCTCTTGGACAGACAGACAAACTTTTCTTGAACTCGCACCGTCTGCATTAGCTGTGCAGTGTGATAAAGGAATGCGAGAAGACTTAGCCGTGGAGGTAAGAGAGATATCAGGGGTGTGGGACGGGTTTGATTATGACCTATTTGGTCTCGCTTGTTTTTACGGGTATGAGGGCGGTTGTCACTTCCCGTCTGCCCACAACGTGGAAGGGTGTTTCTCGAGGAATCTTGAGAAGGAAGGTAGATTACTGTTAGTCTTACAGACTTGGGAGCGTGACCGCAGAGCCTAAAGGACAACCGCTTGAAGCCGGTCACGCACGGCCTTTTTATTAAAGGTTTTTTGAGTATTATCTCCGCTCTTGAAAGCCCTTAGTGGGCACCCTTACCCAAGGAGACGGAAATCCGTGAGGTAGGGTGAGGTGTGACATTTCTGGAGTCGACCTTTCCTAACCCTTCCTTCCTTGTGAGAAGGCAGCATCGCTGCAGATGCTGGTTGTCCGAGGGAAACATCTTACTGCTGTCACACGCCTCTGCAGTCAGCAGTACGACTTCAACTTCAGACCTTGAGTAGTTGCTTTTAGTCTGCTCGTTCTCCAATCGACCAGCCTGGCATTGTAGAACCTACAGGAACATATGTTCTAGCCAATATAGCTCTGTTGGGTCATCATGATAGTCAAGCCCGACCACCACGTCAAGGTAGCAGCTTGAACAGTATTTCAGCCTACATAAAAATTTATATATGTTTTTGAGTTTCTTCGTACCATTGTTTAAATTAATTAAATAAACCTCACCACATCTATATAAAGCGATTATATTTAATAGAGCATTAGTTTTTAGTTATTTCCATTTTACTATTTGCAGTTATAATTAAATAAAAATATTGATTTTCAATAAACAATGATTGTAGTAAAGTAACACTCAAAATATTATGTTTCAATAAATTAGTGTTATAAAATTTGACTATATATTTGATACTTCTTATGTTAGAATCTTTATAGACTATAACAATATAAAAGCGGTTTTTCACTACTAAATTTAATCTGCAAATTATAGTGATCTACACTGATGACAGAATAATTATTGTTCTGATCAATAACATCGTATATTTTATTACAGTATAGTAAAGAATTGTTATTCACAAAAATTAATATGGAATATACCATCAAAGTCTCTTCATATATAATCAGTTGACTTTTGGAGATTGAGAAAAAAAAAGGTTATCCGTAAATGTTTCCAGTCAGTTTTTATTTCCTATAACATTTTTCTTACCATCGTTTAGAATATTCAAAGAACAATTTATTGTCGAATCGACTTTCATTTATCTAGAGGATAAATAAATTGAAAAACATATCGACTGTGGCAGTAGTGGTGGTTGACCCTGATATATTACAAGTAGTTTATAACGAAACGTATACATTAACTAATCAGTTAAAAGAAATATAAAATATAGGAATTCACTGTAATATTTTAACTACTAGGAAATAATTAATCACTTCAAAATTCCAACAGTTTGTTTATTAAGAATTCCTGACGCGAACTTTCCTCTTTTTTTCTGTTGTTGCATCTCATCATGAATGAATGAATGATGAGATGCAACATTGTCTTCCTCTCTCTCTCTGTGTGTGTGTGTGCATAAATTGAATGTAGACTCCATGTGTAATTGATACTTGAGTAAATAATGATCTATCACAAATATCTGTGCCATTATTTGCTTGTTTTCACATTGTGTTATACTTCTGTTTCACTCAAGCTTGTTATTTCTACGATGAACTGGTCATATATTATAAGGAGCTAATAAAATACCAAACAGTATTTAACTTAGTTGGTATGTAATGAACAATGATGGTAAGATCAGATGGAACAAATGATTCAGTTGTCTCTTTTCAAACATCTTTTAGTCTTCAAAGCATTCTGAATGCACTATGCAGTCGGATTCGACACTCTTCACTTCGGTAATAACCTCACGGTGACACTCCGCTACATATCGACTGCATACTACTCACAAGCCATGTTGTGAGTAGTTCATGCCAGGGGCATTCATCCTAGTTTTTGAGATTTCTCTCGTTGTCCTGTACACTAGTGATGATAATAAATTTTATATGAATGTATTTCAGATATATATATATATATATATATATATATATATATATATATATACACTATGTTATTTTAAGTATAATCATTGTTCAAATTCATTTTATCAATATCTGTTGGTATTGACATTATTTATTGATGTGCTTCTTAGTTTCATCTCTTTTTTATTTATATACTGATTATACATGGGATACAATCCTTTGTTTTAAAGATACACATATGCACATATGCATATATAGGCAAATATATGAATAAGTGTGTATACATTCTTGTCATTGTTTGCCTTTCGTTAAAATCAATAAGGCTTTATATTGCTTGTTCGTTTATAACAAGATTTTATTGATTATTTGATTGACTCTCTCTCTGAAGGTATTTGTCTCTACATGCAATTATTGGTTTGTTTTACCAGTTATAATTTTTTATTTAATCTATTTTTATACTAAAAAATACTTTCAGATATGTATATATTTAATGAGATTAGGTAGAATAGGCCATTAATTGTGTTCTATTCTGATTTTAAAATATATTACTAGTGTGAGAGTGAGTTGTGTTAAGAATTAATTTTCCTTAGTTTACAATTTACATAAGTTAAAAAATAGATATATGGATTGCTATTAGTTATGTAAAGATATACACACACATTTTCGGCAGTGAATATAACCTTAATATAGCTTCTCATTTGAACTCCTAAAATTATTGACTGTTGAATTGTTTCATTACTTTAGGGAGTTTGTTAAATATCGTATTATTACAGAATATTTGTTCAGTGTTGGTTTCCACTCGTTGTTTAACTAAAACCAATCTATGAAATCAACAGTCTTTACAAACTCCTTTTATATAGTAACGAAACTAAAAAAATTTTACAAATGTATGTTAAACTAAGTTTTATTATATGTAAAGTTTAAACAATATTTTTTTGATATTTTTTAAGTATATTATGAATTTCTTTTTTAGTTGTACAATTATCTCTGTTTTCTTATTATTATTATTTCTAAACTCTATTAATTTCTTATCTGCCTAATCAAAGTACGTATAGTTTAAGTTATCTATTGAATTCTAACTAAGATTGTATGGTTTTGAAATTTAACTTGTGCTATCAATGTTATTATTATTATTATTATTATTATTATTATTATTATTATTGATTAATTGTATTTATACATATGGAAAATGCTCAATATACTTACTGGTTGATTCATTTGTAAGATGAATAGATTGATGATACAATAACAGATAAGATATTTACATTCATTTATTGAATAGAATTTAATTTTTTATTAAAAAAATTACAATTTAATCTATTAAATTATTGAAAATTAAAGAAATTTGCAGAATATAATAATGATAATGATAATAATATTACGGATTTTGATGCATGTGCTTATTTTATCAAGTAAATTACATTTGAACTTTGGAAATATCAATAATAATAATAATAATATTAATAATAATAATAATAATAATAGCTTTGTGTATTCTTCATCTTACATTCAACATGATTATTCATTTAATTCATTGATTTAATTTTGGATTATTTCTAATATAACTGTTTAATATATATATATATATATATATATATATATATATATATATATATATATTTATATATGTATTGTGTGTGTGTGCGTGAAAAGTTTCAGTCTATTAATAATAATATTAATAATAATAGTATATTTTCAATCAAACCATTTATTAACCTTGAATTGTTAATATGAATTAATTGTATGAGAGACATTTTGTATTTTACTAGTTGACTGAATAATAATAATAATAATAAATACATCAAGTTTTATTATGAAATTGAGAAACAAAATTTTGATCTTGTGATATATTTGATTGATTATTATTTTCAGTATAAAATAATTTATTTATCATAAATGGAATTATTATATAATTTACATTAGATTAGAATTATTATTTTTTTTAAATGAACAGCTGATTTCTACTTTTTTTTTTCTCTCTAAAATTAATAATTGATCAATAAATTTTGGCCATTATTTGTTAATAAATAAATTATTAATGTTAGATTATTTAACTTGTAAAACAATTTTTTTTCTTCATCATATGAACATTAAACATTAGATTTATTTATTTTTTCTAACAAACACGTACATACATTGTTCATAGAATTTGATTGTAATTTCATGAATCAGTACTAAAGAACTAAATTTTGATACAATTGTATCATTTTAAACAACTACATTATCTTGTAGTAAACTAGTTAGTTCTCCTAGTGACATAAGAAATTTAATCGAGATACCAGTAAATGAGAAGGAGAATTTATTTGATTCATTATTTCATTAAAACAATGCAATATTTTTCATATAATCTAACATTTAGACAGATATATGATAACATTTTGTGTTTTCTATAGATCGTATTATTTTTCATCCTATATTTTGTTGCAAGCAAGAATGAGAAAAGATGATTGACAACCATGGTGAAAATAATCAGATTTAAGATTGATCGATCACTAGATAGTGACCAATGTTAGATGTTTCAAGTGCTTCTTGGTACTGATCGGATTCCATCAGTCATGTTTCAGTGTGGCCATAAATCTAAATGACCCGACTACATGAGACTTAAGATGGTGGTGATGGTTGGAGGTAGTGGACAGGAGACTCCAGACCTAGGTTTCGTGCTAATTGGCACGCGTCAGCAGGGTGTACCAGTATTCCTGAGGAAACTGATGCTCGGTTCTACAGAAGGTCAGTCGTAGCCTGGGCAGCTCAGTGGTAAAGTCTTTCTGCAAGGCTGGGTAACACGTGATCTGATTTGCCAAGAGACCTTAGTTCCCTCAAGATTACATGTACATCTTGCTGACGAGTGCCAGCAAGTACATAGTTTGTTGTTGACTACCTCCAACCGTCAACTTGCAAAATAATGAAGTAAATAAAAGGATATGAGTGGAGATTAGAAACATTATTTGTAATCGAATGTAACATATTCAAGGACGAGATAAAACATAAATTTTTCTACCCTATTTTTCCATTTCATGACATGGTAGTAATATTTATGAAATAAACTTACTGTAGCATTACGGATTATGTAGGCGGGCGAATTCGCAAATAGTTTTAGTTTTCTTTATTAAAATTTCATATGTGGCAAGTCTATCGAATTGGTACAACATTGCAAAAATTAAACCGAACTGTGTGTAGAACTCCACTGAATTATTGTGTTGAATATCGAAATGGCGATCAGATGGGAGGCCGCATTTTAGATATATATACATGGGAGATATGAAGAACTCAAACAATTTCAAATGCCCTCAGTTCTATAAAACTATCACAGCATTTTCTACTCCTGAATATCTGCTATAAACAGCTGTCTTTATCAAAACAAATTTATCAGTAAGTTAAAAAACGGCTGCGGAATAAGATATTATTGTGGTTGTCATCTACTACACTTTCAGACACCTGAAAAGATGAAGATTGAGTAGTTTTAATAGTATGGCATCTTGCTGAACAATGACGATGTACTAAGTTTAATTATGCCATATTATGCGATTTGATATCAATGACTCAGCGCCTTACATAACAGTCAAAATTCTAACATAACTGTGACATTTGTGATGTTATATGAGTATACTACTCACCAGTAATTTCTATTTCATTGCGTAACCCTGGTCGATTCGTTTTTATTTATTCTTCTGAAATTTATTCCTATCTAATTGGTTAGTGTTGTGAATATTTTAAGTATCACTTTTAAATAAACCATAATTTGATTGACAGTAAAAGTATCACCGTTACTATATGATCATGTACAATCTAGTTAAATTCTATTTAAATGCATCCTACTAGTGGATAAAATTATATTAACAACAGTTCATATCTGTTACACAAAAACAATATATTTTAATTAAAAAAATTGGATATAATGTGTTACATCTAACGTTTTTCGTAGTACTTGTCCTTAAAAAAAAAATTGGACTTTTACAATAACATTGAATATTTTTTTCTCGTTTTATGTTTAGAAATGATGTTATTTTGAGTATATGTATTTAATCTATTTCGTTTCCTCATTGATAATTATCTTTGAAACAAATAGTTTTTTTATCATACATTTTGAATTTTTACATGATTTTAACTTTAAACAATTAATTAGTTTATCATTTGTATTTTTTTTTTCTTGTTATTTTAAGTCAAACAAAATTGAAAAGACCATGGTATAAGGAAACATCAAGTGCAGAAGAAAATGAAAGAGCACGTCAAGCTTATCGTGCACTTATGACTGTGACACTTTTGAAACCTGACAGTCCTGAATATAGAACATTTACAGAAGAAGTAAGAGCAAGAGCTTTACGTGATTATGACTTTAGTTATCGAGATTCTGAGGTGAGTTGACAGAGAAGTTACTTGACAATTTGTTATATATATATATATATATATATATATATATATATATATATAATTCTGAAATGAGCATTATTTGTGTTTGTGAAGTTTCTCACTTCTTACACAGTTTGCTCTCGATCTCAGATTGATCCTATGAAACATGAATGACTAGATATTTTTGACACTGATCAATAAATCCTTTTTTATTTTATGTGATCGTTGAAATTATTCATTCTTAAGATAATTCTTTATTATCAAATAATCATTTTATGTGATACTCTATTTATTTCGTTTTCTTTTTTTTTGCAATTGAGTTTTTAACTGAAATTATATAAAATAAGAATAAAAATCATTACATCTCATATCTAATCATCCTTGAAATACAATTTATATGTGAAGTAGTTTATATAAAATTGTAATTATTACTCATTTTTATTAAGATGAAGTTTCCAAACCGTTAATATATAAACATTGATTATACAAAACATTTTTTTATCTGATTTTTAATAAATTTCTCTAACAAACAATAATTTAGAGTGAAAACTACTTTTGAGAAATTAAAAAATAATAAATAATAAATAATAATAATCAAAATAGTTGAGAATTTCAATTTCAACTTAATAAAATAAAAAAAAATATGAGATTCATAATAAAAAATTCAATTTAGTCTAATTTGCATAATAAATATTTCAATGTAATAAAATGCCAACAAATGAATATATATACATTCTATTTTTTGAAAAAAAATAGTTGACTCCTTCTTGATAAAAGTTAATGTGGTCGTTTATTTGCTGTATTTGTTTGTCATTGTTGTTTGCTTACTACTTGCCTTGTTTAGTTTTACTTCATCACAAGACAAAAATGGCATTGGATTTTTTTTTATCATGTTTTACTGTTAATAGTTATTATTAAATCAAATAGTTTTTTTTTAATTTAAATTGAATAGTTATAGAATTGGTTGTAGCTGTAGTCGTCGTGATAAACGTAGTAGTAAGGATTATACTTTTATTGATCAAAATTACTTCTATGTATTTTATATTATTATTATTATTATAATATAAATGTATATATCCTAACTTCTTTTTTTGTAAAAACGTTACAACTTAGACGACAGTTATTATTTAATTTAAATAAATTCTTCAATGGCTTGCTAAAATTTTTGGGTTTTTTATATATAACGTATGTAACCAAAATTCATATCAATGATTATCAGCTGTTATAGTGAACATGAAAAAAATTAAACCATTAAATCGATATGAAATGACTCATATAACATTTATGTAACTGATCAGTTACAGTATTACATTATCTAACTTGGTTAACTTTGAAGATTATCATTTCCTACTTAGTTTTTTAAGATAATTCCTACTGACGTTAGTGATTGTTGAGCATACAATTGCTAATCAGTAATACGCTGTATAATCCTCGATATTTTCAAATGACTTTTCATCTCGCATTAATTTGTGGTGAACGTTTGGTGAAATTCATCAAGTAGAAAAGTTGATGGGTTTTAAAATTAATGAGTTAGTCGGGAGAACAGCACAGAAATGGGTATAGTTTTATAAATTCTTTTCAATGATAAAGATGTTTTCTAACTTGTGTTAAATACAACAATAATTCCTACAAGATTCATTGATTCTGTGATTCAATTATATATATATATATATATATATATATATATATATATACATACATATATATAACAGTGAACTAACTGTTCAACAACTAATTTGTAAACTCCTAATGATCAATGTTCTAGTACCGATGGAAATATAATTCCTATTGCAGTCTATATGCATGAAACGCAGTTTATCATTAGGCAATCTTATAAAATCTATTTATAATTTTAAGTTCTATTATGCAAAAGACGTTTTAAAAAGAACATTTTCACTAGCTGAAATTAAAATTTGTTTTCATTTTCCGCGAAAAACAAAACCCAAGTCCTAAAGCATGAAATAAACCTTCAGGTTTTAGTATTAATAGCATAAAACCAATAAGTACATACAGGTGACAGGAGTAATAATATTATCAAATGTAATAATTAAGAAGACAAGGTGAAAAATCATTTTTTTCAGTAGAAACAAAACTCATCCTGAATATAAATAAATCAATTCTTTCAGTAAGTACTGCTAACGATAAACAGAGCAATCGAAATTTTCTTTCCAGTTTTTAGTTCTTGCCATTATAACTTGACATTATATGTATGCATATGTTTTACACTGATAACGATAAAGTTGACATCAGTTAAGTGATGGTATACTAGTGGAAAATATGATACTAGTTCAGAAGAAATTTTGACGAATGAATAATTAACTGAGTAATCAGACAAATAGAGAAATGAAATAATTGATATTCATTGATATTAATTAAACAAAATCAATAAAACTGAACTGTGTATTTATAGAATTAATAGATTAGATCATATTTTGTAGAAGAAATTGAATAACTAAAAAAGTTACGCAATTATGAAAGAAAGTATATCGCAGATATGTTTGGACAAAAAGATGAAAGAGAATGTACAAATAATAAATCACTTGTACTTTGCCGTGTTGATAGTAAGGCTGAGGACAGCGACTATATAAACGTCTAGTGAATGTAAATTTTGGATTAGCGAACTTCCTTCAGCTTCACAAACCGTGTAGGGGATTTAATGAAGTATGATAGACTGCTCGAAATGTTTCGTTAATGTCCATTCAGTGTCCTTTATGGAATCTGTGGTCAAGCAGAAATCTGTTAATCCATCCCTTTTTGCTGTCTACTAAGTTAATCTGGATAGTTGTTTAGAAATAGATGATAGATTTATCGAATTTGTTATTATTTTCATGAATCCGTTTACGTTTTCAATATTACCACTCAACATACCACTTTATATCAATTTCATCATCTCTATGGTGTAAATTATTTATTGCTGTATAGTCGTAGTAAAAAAATTAGTTAAAAAAAATTTTTCTCTGTTCTTGTTGGCTTTTCCTAAATGTCTAAATGGCGACATATTTTACCGAAAACCACTTACCTGTTCTTACATGCCTATAATTCAGTTGCCGCAATCGGAAAGATTTTTTTTGCGTCCATCAATGCTTGTTTCATCATGTTTTATTTCAAACTAACTAGGATAACTTACCTGGGGAATAAACATTTTAAACCACTTTTATTCTCTTGTCAATAAATGCTTAACTGATTGAAGTTAAGAACTAGGTTGTAAGTTTGTATTTTTATCTGTTTGTTCTTTAGGTTGTTTGTAGAATTCGTAGTGATAATTTCTCTCGATTTAACTTATTGATTTATTATCATGAATCTGTGTATTACCAAAGATAGAGGAATGTTTCGTAATAAACATAATTGTAATTTTATTGTCAGTATAGAGTTGTGAAGATTGATAAGCTTCATTGAAATCATGAACTGATCAATGTTAGACTGTTATTGAGAACCTGTAAGCACTGGATGACCGTTTCTCGCCCAGTATGAGACTCATCAGCAGTTCGCATCCATGCTTGCGCGAAAGGAAATTGAACCTAGGATGTTTGATGTCTCTTGCGAACGCTTAAATCCTTGTGGTTTCAACTTTTGACATAAAAAATTGTCATGTTATTAATGATGACAAGTATATGAAGTAAAATTATCATATTATATTGTGGAATATATAATTATCATAAATTGATAAATGATTCTCTTCGATATTTAACTTACAACTACATTTACTAATCTTAATACACTGCTTAAGTCAATATTTTTCATACAGATTTTTATTGAACATGAAATTGTTATACTCTGAAAATGTACAAATGACTATTGAATGAGAAAATTGATTCATAAACATGTGTTAGTTATAGATAGTGGTGGAATTATAACACCTAATATTAAATCAATTTCTTATCATATTTCATTAATCAATGATATATAATTGAATGAATTTTATTTAATATAGACTAATTACGTTAAAATTTTATAAAGTCAAAGAACAATTTGAATTTTCTATGTAAATTAATTTTGTCAACTGACTTTTAATGATCAGTTTATTCACATGATTGAATTGTAGTAGATTAAGATAAGTTGCTACAAGTCTATTTTTCAAAAGTAAATGTATCTATTTTAAAGTATCTTTCACTAGCTTAATTCAAAAATATTCTATATTATTGTTTACTGGTGTTAATTAGATACATTTAAATAGCAGCGTTTATTACTTTTAATTTGTTAATAAACTACTGAAAAATAATTGAGATTTAAATACAATTCAACAGTTATTCAGATGTAAATATTAGTTTGATATTATAATGAATTACTTCGAGTTCAAACTGAACTTCTGCTTATTGAATTGAAAACAGAATATTGTCAACTGTTAAACCATTAATCATAAAGCATATCAAGTATTTATCATAAGTTAACTTTTGAAATTCGACTATTGTTTTGAGATCAAATTTAAATTCTTAAAGAAAATTGTCAACGTAAAATCAATACGGCAAATGGATTCCGAATGAATTCCAATACCAATCCTCATGATTTAGGTGCATGTAAATCTATTAATGATTTATTGTTCATATTGTTTGTTTTATTTAGTTTGTGTGGATTAACTAATTAAAATCAAAAGAAGCTATTTTAATCAACAGTTTAATCTGGACAATAAACTGATTTTTCCAACCCCATCGATCTATACACATTCAGACAAGATCGTTGTTAGTTAATATTGTTACGCTCGTCTCTAGGTATGCTTAAACTATTACGAGTTCACCTTAGTCGAATAACGAGAACAAAACAATGAAACAGCGTCCATGTAGGCTACTGTGATTCCTTGACCAAAAGGTATCAGCAAGAAGTCTTGATATAGCGTAAAAATTGTATTCTACAAACACCCAGCCAGCACACAATGAATCCAAGCACTCAAATCGCGTTTATTTATACTCTAAGGAGACGTCCTTGGGACAGTCACAAAATAGCACACTAAAATGACACAGTAACCAATCACAGCCAAGGATTTTCCTGGTGGGAAATGTGATCTCAAGGTC